AACAGCGGACGCAAAATACTTTTCTGTCCACTTGTGTGACGTCAGCGGGTGTAAATAGTATATTAAGCAACAAGGGAATAAAGGCAGCCATTTCATTACAGTGATTTTTGTGACACGAATGGAGGTCTTTGGTCGCCTACGGCACCCTCGATTTCCACTCGTGTCACGAAAACCATCAAAAAGATATTGCACTGCCTTTATTCCCGTGTTACTTACGATATATTTTTTTATAAGTCAGTCATAAAAACGGCGTTTTTTGGTACTCCGGAGATAAGTAGAAAACTGACTTTTCTTGAACAGAGCGTCATAAGAGCTCTTATTCGTACGGAGTGCAAATAAGACTACCCCAGAGTACGAAAAAGAAAAATAATGTAACGACTGCGATGAACCAATTGAGAAGGACAGACTGAGTCGATGTTTTTATCGAGAATAGTAGCACACAGACTACTGCAAAAACGCGTCGCGATAAACTCATTTGCGCAGGCGTAGATATATATGGGGAAATCTCACGAAATGGGGACAAATTGGGTTCTGAGATATATGTGCCACAAAAAGCTTCCATATTGCTAACCCACATTTTTATACATTTGCTAATACTATATCGCGACTATGAGATATAAAAAAAATTCTTGTTAGTAAAAATTAAAGAATTATGCACCTGATTTATTCATTAAAATTGTAGAAATTAAGAAATTCTTGACGTAACTCGCATAAAATCGAATTTTCATTAAGCGATAACTTTTTGAGCAATTTTTTTTAATGTTTGGGATTTTTTGTCATTTATCTATAGGTTGTGAAGGGTAGAAAAAGGTAAATAATAATATAATAATATAATAATATATAAAATATATATATATTATTATATATATTATATATAATAATATATATAATATTCGAGATAATAAGCTGTTTATAACTGTAATTGCATTTTCACCTTTTTTTGAAAATCATTAATTTTCTTATAATACTTGTTGAGCGATCATTATTTAAAATTCGCCCATATATTATTTATATTTTTAGGTATTCAGGAAAAGAATTATGGGTGGCAGAACATTGTGCCACTTAAAACATCTACGAAATCGTTCTGCGAAAACGCGCAACGAGTGCGTAACTCGTTGTCAAAAAATGGTTTTTTGACGAGCACAAGAAATCACATTTAAAAAAATGTATTCACCTTCGTGTAATATCTTGGTTTAGTGTTAATAAATATGTGTGACCCCTAAAAATAATATTTTTGGTTGATATTGAATAATTTTTGTACGAGATAATGTTACTTAGTCAATTATAGTGCCATTTTAGGAAAAAATATATTTGAACTATATCGCGTGTAGATTTTTGATAAATGTAAGTTTAGGTAGATAAAGCAAAATGTTTTTTGAAGGGTTGTAAAATATTATAAATTCTTGAAGATAAATACCTACGTTTTACCTGCACTCATAGCCATAAATATGAAAAAAATAGTTTAAATAAACACTCAGAGAAAAAGTTTATTTCACTTAACCAAACGTAAAATTTGTTTGGTTATTGGAAAGAAATTTTTTATTTGAAGTTGTTTGTTTCATTTAACCAAATTTGTGTTTTGAATAGAGAATATTTTTTAGTTAAATACAGTTTGTTCGACACAACACACAAATTTGTTTGATTTAACCAAATCATTTTATTTGAGTCAAACAAACATATTTGCTTGTCTCAAAAAGTACATGTGTGAATTTAAAAATGGCGATCTCACTTGTCTACAGTCCGCGTTCGCGTCAAATTTATTTGTTAAATCGGTAAATCAAAGAAAAAAAATTATAAGTGTCGGTTAAATAAATATTAAATACATTGTGTTCATTGACTTACTGCATATTTAATTTGTACCAGTGAGAAGAATATTTACAAAAAGGTTTTGTGAAGTTTTCAGTTTGTTGTTTCGAATAAACTTTTTTCTGAGTGCGCACGTATAAAAATCATAATTATAATATGTTTAATGTAATATTTCAAATGTTTTTTTATAATTAAGTAATTTTGTTTATATGAAGAAATACATATATAATATTTTACTTAATTGTTATTTATTTTCCTCTAATAATGTTTGAGTTTCCTAATTTAATATTTTCTAGTATACATATTATTGGTTAATTTATAATTTATTATATGTATAATTTTAAAATATCAATAAATAATTATATAATAAATTATAAATTAACCAATAATATGTACTAGAAAATATTAAATTAGGAAATTCAAATAGGTATTATTAGAGGAAAATAAATAACAAAATTAAGTAAACAAAAATATTTATTTAAATGAACCAAATACGTTTACTAAAACTATTTATTTGAATCAAACAAATCTTTTCTCTTGAAATAAACAAATTTTTTAGTTATATTAAATAAAATTTTTTGGTTAAGTGTAATAAGCATTTGGTTAATACAAATAAACGTATTGGAAGAAATTTTTTGGTTGAATCAAACAAACGTTTGGCTGACTGTATAGCAATGCATTTATTTGGTTGATTCAACCAAAAGGTTGTTTCGAACAAATTTTTTTCTGAGTGAAGTAGCAATTAATAAATATGAATTACGCCGGTTAAAATATACTTCTATTTAGTCAAAGAATAATAATTTATGGTAAAAAAAATGTGCCACTAATTTGAAAAATAAATTTTTTTTCAACAAAAAGTCCCCATTTCGTGAGATTTCCCCACATAGCAATAGTTATGGACAGCACTACCAACCTAAGATTCGCTAGAAATCTAAATATCTCTATGATTTCGCTATCATTGTGAAAACATTTCCTCAACACAACCTCACTTTTTTATTAACTATCAGAATAATTAATATTTTGAGATGGTTATTTGAGAACGGGGGGCTTCGCCCCTCGAAGTACCCTTCTCTTTGTAAACCACACCAAAGTTTTTTCAACATTAATACTGAAATAAATTGTTTACCTTTAGATTGTCAATGAAAATTAATCTTTTGAGTCGCTTTTTTTGCAGTCGGGGGGAGAGCCCACCCAATCCCCCGGCTGGGCTCCGCTCCTGGACCCCGTCGGGGGAGAGCCCCCGAGCCCCCACCCTGCGACAAAACATGCTTGTACGTTTAAATGTATATCGGTAAACTAGTTTTGTCACAAATCTGGGTGTCTCGTTTTTAACGCCTTTTTTATGACTTTATTATAAAAAGTATCGTTCGTTACTTGCGTGAACTGTTTTTTGAATCTCGCGCAAGTTTTTGAAACGAGATTAAAAAACGCCATCAGTTCCCACTAGTTACGAAATGTACTAATTCTTAATGCACAAAAGTGTGTAAAAAGCTCAAACTAACTAAACTAACCCAACTAGCGTAATTTACGTAACTAGGGTAAGTTACGTAAATAGAGTAATTTACGTAAGCTACGTAACCAGTTTAACTTACGTAAGTTACGCAACATGCATAATAAATATAAGTTAAGCGACATGTATAATGAATATAAGTCACGTAACTTACGTAAGTTACGGAACATACATAATGAATATAAGTTACGTAACCTAACTAACGTAAGTAACTAATTTATTTACTAACTTTCTTCATTTGTTTCGTTAATTAGTTACTTTTCCTCCCGCTCGCAGGGAAAGATGTACTTTTTTCGCGCTTCACAGGTAAGAAATTGTGTACTTTCGGTGCGTGTGTTAGAAAAAAAATTTATTTTGCTGCTAGCCAATTGTGAGTAATTTTCCTGAAAATATATTCAAGCTAAATTTCTTGCTATTTTATTGCTGCTGTTTGATGCATTTTTTTGAATTTTGAATATTGAATTTGTTGTTGAGGAATTAAACCGGTAGTAATCAAAGAACGTTGGGGGGAGAATTTGATGATACTTCGGTTAAATTACAAAGCTCTTTAATTTCTGATACTTTCCCGCTGAGGTACAGTGAACACCGCAAATCGTCTTTTTTCAAAGACGTTCTTAAAAAAGCTTTGTCACCTGCTAGTTTGTAGATATTTATGGATAAAATAATTACTGAAATGATACCTAATAATGTACAAAAGGTTCGAATCAATTTGCTGTATCCATATTTCTCAAAAAAAAATCGCAAAATAGTTTTTTTCACGCAGAAACCTTTGCCCACCTCCTTAAGAATTAGTCTGTTTCAGGGCACCATTATTTACGAGTTCAACATTTCACGTCAAGTAGCAGCGATTAATTTTTATTTATTTTGGGTCATAAAATGTTTTTTTGCATCTTGACACATTAATACCGAATTTGTAAAATTACTTACCTTATAGTAATAAATAAAGAATATAGTATGACATTTTTCGACTATATTATAATAAATAAAAGAACACTTTACGCTATATTTTGAGTTAATAAAAAAAGATTTATCGTTTAGAGGGATATATGTTTTGAAACAAAAAGAAAAAGAGCAACGAGGAAAAAGTTTAACCGGCTATTAGGGTCGTAATACAGTGTAATGCCGGTACTTAGCAGAGTATAAATAAGCGTTAAATCCGTGCTTAGGAGCCTTAATCTGTATTTTTCTTGAGATGCTTCTCAGAATATATTATCACTTAGGAACTTTATAGTCGTGGGTCGATAATTGCCAAAAGAAACGCCCGTTTCACAAGTAAATTTGTCATTACGGAGGAAAATAATTGAAAAACCAAAATTCGAATTTGTAAATTTATTTTATTTATTTGATAAAATTTTTAATGACTAAATGAAGTTATTTATTAATGCTTCGTTAATATAAACTATTTTTCATTGAAGAATAAACGCTTTCATTGTGTTTACAGGTATGTAGACCTTCAGACAAAATATTGAATTTTCACTAAAGAATTTTTAATATTAGGTATAGTTATTTGTATCTTCTGGAAGAATCAATCAATCAATCAATCAAATCTATCAATTTCCAAGAAAAAAATTTGAAACCTACAAAAATTGTTTATTTAGACATTTTGCATATGATCAAAGTTTTCTTCATATCAAAAGATATGAATAATATTTTTAAACATTTCCTGAAGAAAATAAGCCATTATTGATTTAAATCGAATCAGTTTTGAAAGAGTTTAACCTTTTGATATGAAGAAAACTTTGATCATAGGTATATGCAAAATGTCTATATGGTCAAAATCGCAAAAAACGAAACTTTTGTAACGTAACAGTGTTTTTAAAACGTTCATAACTTTTAAATGATAAATACAAAAAATTTTATGTTCCAATGCAATATTGTTAAAAACAAATATATTTTAAGATGCATACATACAAATTTATTAATTCCTTGTTATTTAAAAGTTATGGACAAAACAAAAAGACTCTTACGTTACATGCTTCGCGTTTTTGACCATGTAAACAATTGTTGTAGGTTTCATATTTTTTTCTTGAAAATTGATATTTGTTCTTCCAGAAGATACGAATAACAATAATATTAAAAAATTCTTTAATGTCAATTCAATGTTTTTTCTGAAGGTCTGCATACCTGTTAGCAACCTCCTTAATAAATGTTTATATAATTTTATTATTAAAATTTAACTAAAAATTACTTAATAAAAAATTACTTAATTACTAATATTACTTAATTTAATACTAATTTGTATTATATAATACATTCTGTCAGTCGTTTGGATTTTATTAGTAGTCTAAGAGAGCAAAAGAGAAAAAAAATTTCTCATATGACGAATTCGAGAGTTTCTCATATCAAGTAAATCACTTTACAAAATAGATCTCTCAAAAATCCAGTCGAATTACACTCGGAAATGGTTTGATTAGAATGGTATTAGAATGAAACAAAATTTCCAAAAATTACTCAAAAAAAGGTTTACTTTAACAAATCCTGAATTTCCTCTAAACTTTTGCCTTTTGTTTCAGGTGTGATGCGGTAAACAATGAAAGTGCCACCCATACAGCAGAATGCATAGATCCAAAAAGTCGTATAAATGCCAACAATCTGATTGACTGGATCAAAGGCGAATGTAATTAAAAAGACAAAACTCTCAAATGATATAAATGCCACCGCCGATGCGAGACTACGAATTTTCGTTGGAAATAATTCGACTGTAAGTAGAATTGGTATTGGATTTAAACTGGCAGCAGAAGCCACTTGAAAGCAAGTCAATCCAAATAATGGAAGCCAACTAATTGCCGTGAGATTATCCATTTTCAAATAGAATTTAATAAAGAAAAAAAAACCCACCATTATCAAGGATAATCCACCTAAAATACCGGAATAAAAATACAATACCCTCCTACCAACCTTCTCAATTAATTGTGAGCCAATAATGCCAGCAATTATTTTCAATGCAACAACAATAATTGTCGCGTATTCTGCTTTAAGGGTGAATTCACTGTAACTGAAAATTTGCTGTGAATAATTACCAATTGCATAAGATCCCGAAAGTCCTTTCGTTACATTCGCCACGAATACTATTAAAAGTGCCTTGCGATAACGTTTATCAGCGAGAAATGTTTTAAAAATATTCTCATCACTCTCCTCCTGCAACATCGCACTTCTCACACTGTTAATTTCAAATTCGACGATTTTATGATTTTTCTTACCGCGTAACATTAATAAACTTTCAATGGCTTTCTCGTTATTTCCACGCTTTAGAAAATAATGCGGTGTCTCGGGCATGAATATAAAGGTGACAAAAAATAATAGTGGAAGAGCAAGCATTGATACATTCATTTCTTCATAGGTAAAAAATGCACCAATTGAAACGACAATTAAACCTCCAATTTCATAACTGATTTTTGACACAAACATACAAATGCCTCGTACACTTTTTGCACTAATTTCACTAATGTAAACTGATACAACGGCAAATCCACCGCAATAACCAATACCGGCAATTGTACGTGCAACATAGAGAGTGTAGACATTTTTTGCGTATATTGTCAATATCCATGATGTAATTTGTGGTAGAAAAAATAATAGTAATGTCTTCTTTCGACCCATGGTGTCGATTAAATAAGGATAGATGAGATAACCAATAATCGCACCGATGTGAAGCAATGACGCTATCCATGGTGCTTCTTTTGGTGATAATTGCAATTCTGATTCATTACTTAGTAGATGTGGTAGTGCAGGTGATGTCCATGAATCAGACGCTCCAAGTCCAACCATTGTTAGGGAGGCTGTTTAGAAAAAAAAAGTTCATTACTATCACAGGTTGTCTCTTATTTGTATAAATAATTCTCAAGAATCAATAACAATACGACCCTGACCCGACCGAGGTAGGGTTGAATCTCTAAACGTAATTCATTTGATCTATATTTGACAGTTGATTCCGGCCCTTGTGCGCGTTACAAAAAGTTAAAAAGTATGTGAATTTTTGTTTTTTTGTAAAAATGATTCAATTGATACAAAATGACTACATTTATTTTCAAGATGGTTTTTGTTATTTTCCCCATGCATGCATCATTTTTTCTATTGCAGACACTTTTCATCTGTTCAAAGCCAAGTAGAAATTTCAACTTAGTACTGACCAGACACTGGCAAGTTTTTCTAGATACTGGCCAGTGACTGACAAGAAAATCTGGCAAGTGACTGGTTAAAAACGTAACTCGCTCCTTTAGCAAGTAACTGATTAGTAACTAGACAGTTTTATGGTCAATATCTAAAATAAAATATAATTTTTTCTGGCTCTTTTTATTTTGTTTATAATTACATATTTATTTATATTTTTATGTTTATTCAAATATTTAAGACTAATGAACAATTACTCTACCAATAACACTTAAATCTAAGAATGAAAAATTCGCACGCATGGAGATCGAACCCCAGACCTTGGAGACACAACGCTTACACGGTGTCGTTGAACGATTTGAAAGTTTTGACAAATTGTCAACCAAATCTGACAGTCGGATCTTCTTTCTGATGGTATTAGGTATAATAATCAATTTTATTTAAAATCCTATCTGCTTAATTGCTTTTGAAATATGAAAAAACGTTAAAATTTGTGAGGAAACTAAAGCTTTTTGTTTTAAAAACGTTTTCCACTATTATTATTTTTTTGTTTCTATTAAATAAAATACTTATAATCGGTTCTAAGTAACTTTGTTTAGGTGTAAAACAAATGAGCGTTTTATAGGTTACCTCGAGAAAAAATTTTTAATACATTTTAGCCATGTAAATCCCTAAGGAATCCACGAGGATTTTTTGCTTAATTTTTTTCCTAATTTATGAATTCCTAAAGAATTCACAACGATTTTTAACTTTAATTTTTTTGTTCAAATTTTAAATCCAGGAGGATTCATCGAGGATGTTTAACTATTTTTGTTATTTTAATTTTTAAATCCATGTGGAATCCGCCAGGATTTTAAAATTTAATTTTTTTGTTTAAATTATTAAATCCTTGTGGAATTCGCGAAGATTTAAAAATTTGAACAAAAAAATTAAAGTTATAAATCCTTGCGGATTTCACAAGGATTTAAAAATTTGAAAGAAAAAAATTAAAGTTAACCCTCGAAGCACACACCTCTTTTTTCGAACAAGAAGCTCACTCCAGGGTCATTTTGACTCTCTTCACTTTTCAAATCTCTACTATTTAAAAACTTATCATTAAATTTACATAAAAAATTGTTTAATATTCTTTAATCATTGAAGAATATGTTTCTACAATTTAAAAGTCTCATTAAAAATATTTTATTATAGAAAAAATACACTCTAAAAAATTTCGTTGTTAATTTACAACGTCGGACGTTGGAAATAATTTGCTTCACGTCCAACGTAGTAAGTTTACAAGCTGCTAGTATGTATTAAACATAACTTGAATGCAATTTTACAATCGCAGCTTGTTAAATTGCATTCAGATTATTTTTTAATACGTACTAGCAGCTTGTAAACTTACTACGTTGGACGTGAAGCAAATTATTTCCAACGTCCGACGTTGTAAATTAACAACGAAATTTTTTAGAGTGTACAAAAAGTGGACAATTTTCCAGAAAAACGCCAAAAATTAGATTTTTCAAAAAAATGTAGTTCTTGTAATTTTTAATATTTTTAACTAATATTTTACATTTGCACTCTTGAATAGTGGTACAATAAAATAAAAATATTCTGTACTGCCCAATGGGAAATTAACCATTGGCGCAATAATGGTCCTATATTGGGAGCCAGCAGTACCAATTATGGTGCAATAATAGCAACCAATATTGGGCCACTATTGCCAAAGTCTTGGGATGATCACGACTTTGCCAAGCATTGGCAGCCAATATTGGATCACTATTGACTATTTATTGGCTTTCCAAGCCTTGGATATTCATTGGCAACAAAGATTGGACCAATATTAATGACCAATTAATTACCAATGCTTTAAAATTAAATTAATTCTTGGTTATTTCTTGGTTACCAATACTGAACCAACGTTTGAAATCAATATTTTACAAATACCAACATATAGCAAAAATTTTTCAAAAAAAAAAAATTAAATTACTAATCTAAAGAAAGAAAAATAATTAATTTAATTAGAACACTCTGTTAAAAACAGAATGTGATAAAAATCAGACAACGATAATATTTGTCTAAGTTTGAGAATGCAAGCGTCTCTTCTTATATATAGAACTGGTGAAACAACTTGATAACACAGAAAAAAACTATACTCAAAATGAGTATCATATGATACTCATTTTGATGTGCAACAAAAATGATACCCCTTCGACTCATTCTGAGTTTCTAGGGAAAAGACTCAAAATGAATAAAAAGAGGTATCATTTTGGGTTTATGATAAAATTACAATAACATTGAAATAACTGGGAATAATTCATAAAAATATAAATTAAAATAATTGTTTATAATAAATAAACACTTTGCACTTGTCAAAAAATTAATACTTGAAATCGATTTATCGCATTTATGAGAAATGAAAAACGAATTTTTAGGTTAGACATTTGTGAATTGACTGACAGGGATGGGTAACCATATGTCATTTTACTCATTTTGAGTCACTTGAAGTTGCCGATTACTCATTTCGAGTCACTTGAAGTTGTCGATTACTCATTTCGAGACCGACTTCCAAATGCGTTGCAACAAAAGTGAGTCGAGTTTTTTTTTGTGAACGAGAGGAAGAAACATTGGCGAACCCTGGTGGCACTTATCCAAAGTAATTTCGAGCATATACTTTGAAGCAGCGCGGGACATTTCGAAATCGAACAACAAGGTGCGCTAGAGCTTCTTTCACTCACTAGCAAGTGGTGTTACCAGTTCTATATAAGGAGAGACGCTTGCATTCTCAAACTTAGACAAATATTATCTTTGTCTTATTTTTATCACATTCTGTTTTTAACAGAATTTTTTTTTTTTGAAAAATTTTTGCTATTTGTTGGTGTTTGTAAAATATTGATTTCAAACGTTGGTTCAGTATTGGTAACCAAGAAATAACCAAGCATTAATTTAATTTTAAAGCATTGGTAATTAATTGGTCATTAATATTGGTCCAGTCTTTGTTGCCAATGAATAACAAAGGCTTGGAAAGTCCGGCATTTGCCTTGGCAGCCAATAGTCATTCAATATTGGCTCCCAATGCTTGGCAAAGTCGTGATCATCCCAAGACTCTAGCAATAATAGCCCAATATTAATTGCCAATGTTTGACCACGAAAAAACTGTTGGCAGCCAATATAGGTCCATTATTTAGCCAATGGTGAGCATTGGCAATTTCCTATTGGGTGCAGTTTGTAAAAAAGCATTTTTTGCAAGTTGATAGAGGTGATTTTTATTTTTTGACGAAACCTAGAAGGCAACTGACGAGCATTATACTCGGGGAGAACTGGAACATAAGGTCATAAGACCTATACATGTTACAATTTTTAAAAAAGAAATTTAAGTTTAAACTAAAAGACATTCTCTAAATTTGAATCAGCGAAAAGTCGCTGATTCACCAGCCCAGAGTATGCAGCTGATGAAATAGCGTATATACACTGATAAAACAGCGTATATGCACTGATTTTCCAGCGTATATACGCTGTTTCATCAGCTGCATACTCTGGGCTGGTGAATCAGCGACTTTTCGCTGATTCAAATTTAGAGAGCAGGGTCACACAGACCCAGTATGTGCTCCGAGGGTTAATAGTCCTCATGAAATCCTCGAGGATTTAAAAATTGGAATAAAAATATAGTTAAACATCCTCGAGGAATCCACGTGGATTTAAAATTTGAATGAAAAAAATTAATGTTAAAAATCCTCGTGTATTCTTTAGGAATTTATAAAGTACACTGAGAGACCTTTGGGTCAGCAGCAGACTTTCGATAGGCTGCTACTGACCATTTTGGAGGAACGCTACAGGACTATACTTTTGGGTTGCTGCGGTAAAATCTTGGGCGCGTGACAGTTCCAAAGTTGTTCAGTTGCAAACCAAAGGCGGCATTCCCACTACTTCGGTGAGCTGCTCACCAACATTTGGGACTGTCACGCGCCCAAGATTTTACCGCAGCGCACCAAAACCATAGTGGAGCTGCTGTCACATACGTTGTTCCGCTACAGTCCCAAAGGTCTCTCAGTGTAGGAAAAAAATTAAACAAAAAGTCCTCGTGGATTCCTTAGAGATTTACGGAAAGAGAAAATCTTGTTCAAATGTTGCATTATTATATAAATTTGATTGAGTAGGGGAGACCGATGTAAGTTGTAACAGAGGTGAGATGTAATAAAGCCGATTTCTCGAAAGCTATGACCTTTAAAAAATTTTGAAAAGCGTGAATTTATGTTTTTCAGTAACACGTGTTTTTCAGTAGGGTAGGTCCATGCCTAAAAAATCAAAGTTCTCCCCTAGTTCTTCGATTTTGTTTAAAATTCAAAATTTTGAAGTGGAATACATGTCAGTCAAAAGCCCAAAATCGATTTCAAAAAATTTTGGATTTACGAGGTTTTTAAAATTTTTTTTGAAATTTTAAAAATGATATATCTTAAAGAAAAATGAATAAAATTTAATTAAATTTTCAGGAAATGCTTATTGTTTACTTACAATTTATAAAAAAAAAATTTTTTAAAACAAATTATTTAAAAAATAATTCTTAAATAAACAATTTTTTGAAAAGTGAAATTTTTTTTTTAATAACAATGATTCGATTCCCACTAATTTCACGAGTATTTTCCAAAAAAGAATTGATGGAGGATCTGAAACTTTAGGAGATATTGAATTT